TACTGCATTGTTGTAATAATTGTATAAATAATGTCAATCCATTCTTGACGCCGTACTGGAATTTAGACTGGCAGGCGGACAGGTATTGGACGGTGACGTCATTTGTTTACTCTTGAGCTTCGCTAAAGAATAGAACATTTTCGCTACTGTGAGCGCAATTTCAAGGTACTTTTCATCATGGAAGCAATCAAAATCATATCTATTTCTGTAATATATCTTTCATTCTATCAAACGAGACCAAAAAAATGAGAATATAACCAAAACAACCATATAAAAATATACCGCTAAGCGGCCGCTAATGGCTGAGAAGTGAACTCCGCTATTCATGGTCTGATTTCTCTCATTTTTGGTGTACGTGAAGAAGTATCTTTCCGTCATACATTGCCCAAGTTTGAATAAGATAACCCAACAAACAACTGAGAAAATAATAATATAATAATAATAATAATAATAATATAATAATAATAATAATAATAATAATAATAATAATAATAATATCTTTATTTACTACACGTACATGTACAAAGTATACAGGCCTAGCTGACATCAGTGCCCTTAAAATCAGGCATAATCACAGAAAATACCACAGATCACTACCCTACCTTCCTCATCACAAACCTTGGCAAATTACCCCAAGACACTACTAAAGTCACTTTCAGACTTCACAATGAGGCAGCCATTAATAACTTCACAGCAGCAGTGATAAACATTGACTGGCACACTAAGCTAGAAATCTATACAGATATTGACGAATGTATTAATAATTTTCTAAAAAAGACCCAATACCTTTATAACAAACACTGCCCCCAAAAAACTAAACAGATGACAGCTAAGCAACTGAACAGTCCCTGGCTAACACCCAGCATCCTCAAATCCATAAATACAAAGCACCTATACAAAAAACAGTACAGAATGGGTCACATAACCAGAGACCAAACAAAACGTTACTCGTCAATCCTAACCAGCCTGATAAGAAGGGCTAAAAAACTGTATTATGAGAACAGATTATCCAACTTACGAGGTGATATAAAAAAGACCTGGAAAACCCTATCAGCAATTCTAGGAACAAAAAAATATCACGAAATAGCGAAATTGAATTAAAAAAAACCAGATGAACCCAACTCCCACCAACTGAAACAGCAAACAGACTCAATAATTTCTTCTCCACTATAGGAAAAAACCTTGCCAATAAAATCCCAAGCTCAGATACCCCACCCATTGACTACCTCACTGGCAACTACCCGAACACACTGTTCCTAGCTCCAACTAACCCTACTGAAGTCTCGTTTATTATTAGCACATTAAAAAACAAGACAGGAGATTTAAATACCTTACCACCCTTTATATACAAAAAAGCATCACAAGTACTATCACCAATCATTGCAACACTCTTTAACAAATCCATAGAATCCTCTACCTTCCCTACAGTTCTCAAAATAGCAAGGGTCACCCTGATCCATAAAGGAGGAGACCAAACAGACTTGAATAACTATAGGCCAATATCCAACTTACACCCTCTCTCTAAAATCTTCGAAAAATTAATTCATAAGCAAATCTATTCCTACCTCATCTCCCACAACATACTCAACCCCTGTCAATTTGGGTTCAGGCCTAATAAAAATACTAATGATGCTATTATACACATGCTAGAACACATATACACTGCAATAGAGAAAAAAGAAGTCCCACTGGGGATCTTCATAGACTTATGTAAAGCTTTCGATACAGTTGACCATGACTTGCTCTATATAAAATTGTAGCACTATGGTATAAGAGGGCACTCCCTCAACTACCTAAAGTCTTACCTCAGTAACAGAAGCCAATATGTGTACACAAATGGGGCAAACTCTTCAGCACAGCCAATTACAGTTGGTGTCCCACAGGGAAGTGTCCTAGGCCCTCTTCTCTTTCTCATATACTACATAAATGACCTACCAAATGCATCGCAACTACTCAAACCCACACTATTTGCAGATAACACTACATACGTCTTCTGTCACCCAAGCCCAGTCATACTAGCCAATACTGTAAATACCGAATTACAGAAAATATCTACCTGGATGAGTACTAACAAACTTACTCTAAACATTGACAAAACCTACTTCATTCAGTTTGGTAACAGAACTACAGACGTCCCTCTTAACATAAAGATAAACAGATCACCTATCACAAAACTCACAGAGGGAAAATTCTTAGGAATCCACCTTGATAATAGACTCAAATTTCAAACACATATACAACAAATTTCCAAAAAAACTTCCAAGACCATAGGCATACTATCGAAGATACGGTACTATGTTCCACAGTCAGCCCTCCTGGCCCTATATCACTCACTTATTTACCCCTATCTCATCTATGGAATTTGTGAATGGGGCTCAACAACAATAAACCATCTCAGACCATTAATTACCCAACAAAAGGCTGTAGTCAGAATGACAACAAATTCCCACTACAGGCAGCACACTCCACCAATATTCAAAACTCTAAACCTACTCACCATTCAAAACATCCATACTTATTACTGCACCGACTACATTCATAGAACACTTAATTCTGATATAAACCCTCCCCTCAAACATCTCCTTACCAACCTCAACAGAACACACGACCATAACACAAGCCACAGATCACTCTTTGATGTTCCTCGAGTCCATCTCACGCTATGCAAAAACTCAATGCACATAGAAGGCCCTAAAATCTGGAATTCATTACCTGTGAATATAAAAGAAACACTGTCTGTTTATAAATTCAAGTCTCTTCTCAAAAATCACTTACTCACCCACAACTAAATAAATACTGAATAATTGTATCTCATAAATTGTATCTCGTAAATGTTTCTCATTATTGTATCTCATAAACGTCTAACCTGTGACCCAATCAAATTTATTTTTTAATTACATTACCTAACAGAATACTCCAATCTACTGAAAGCTCAGCAACACAGTAAATGACCATATGACCTGTCTTTGTAATACTTATTTGTGCTAAATTGTTATCTGTTTACAATAATGTATTTACCACTGAATATATCATTGCTTAGTTAATCTCAAGTTAATTTTAAGCCTGCCCATATTGCTCTGCATACAAGGGGCTTTGGCATGTTGCACTGTAATAACTTTGTACTTCACTGTATCATGTTCAAATTAATAAATAAATAAATAAATAAAAAGGAGAACTTCCCTTGACCAAGAAACATGAGTGACTTCCTCGAAGAAAAATGGATACCACCAGAACCATTCTACGTTCAGTAACATGGATTAATGCTCCCCAATTCTGGGTGATCCACTTCTGTCAGTCAACACCTTACAACTAACCTTGTAACATCTACAACCAACCTACAGCAGGACACCACCTCAGAAACTGCTTAGCCAATCAACTCCAGGTGAGCAACCAACGTCCATCAAATGACCTGCAACTACCACCTGCAGCTGCAGCCTTACGACCGACCTCTTGCGCCCAAAAAAAAAAAAAACAGTATACATCCCTCGAATTCAGTGGCACACCGGTATACAGCTGGTATAGTGGTGTGCAACTGATGGGCAGGAGGCATAGCTATCTAATGAATTCAACTTTTTCATGAATAACACAACATACACGCACACGTATTTAACCCTTTTAGGGTGGCAGGCCCTCTCCTAAACTTGTTCTCTGGGTCAGAAATTTTTCGGAAAAAAAAAAATTATTATTTTTTCTTATGAAATGATAGAGAATCTTCTCCCAAACATAATGCCACCAAAAGCATGGAATTTTATGGAAAACTTATGGAATTATGCTCTCGCAAAGTTAGCGGTCTTGACGATGTTTAACACATCGGCAATTTTGCCCACTTTGAGCCCTATTTTCGGCCAACTCCAATGTACCAGTTGACAAAAATCATAACTATTTCACTAGAACTCCATTTTTTTCTATTGAATGAGTACAAGAAAGCACCCATTCACCGATTTCAACTATCCAATAAAGTGGTCAGAAATTGGCAATTTTGCCAGTTTCACACAAATTTCAAAAGATGCCAATTTCCAAATAGGGTCCAGATTAAACAAGGCACACATTCCTGGCACTAAAATAGCATTTCCTCTGTTCATTAGTCATGACCCCAGGTCTCTGTTACGTTTCTTTTGCTTTCCACTTTGAATTTTTATTCTAACAAAAAATAGAAGTTTTACTGTTATGCAGACTACTACATTAGTGAAGAAATGGTGTAGAAATGGTATAAATAATATCAGTGCACTTGTGAAAGAATATTAGACTTACCAGTTGACGTGTATTGGATGCATGGCTTGATTTATTTACTTTTGAACTTTGGCAAAAACTGAACATTTCTGGTACTTTGAGCTCAATTTCAAGGTACTTTTCCTTGTGAAACCAATCAAAATCATCTCAATTTCCATAATATGTGTTCCATTCTATAAAGTTAGACCAGGAAAACTAGAATACAACCACAAGTATCATACGAAAATACACTGCAAAGTTGCTGTTTTAAACCAAAAACACGGTCAGAGTTTTTTTCTCATTATGCACTGTGTGCTGCAGGATTTTTTTTATACTGTGCACACTGACCACATAGACCCATTCTTTCATATGTAGGCTTACCAGCATCCTCTCGCTAGATTTGAAGGTGCTAGAATTTACGCGTACTAGTACGGCACCAACCCTGGCATGCAAGCAGTACTAGTAAGGCACCAACCCTGAAAGGGTTAAATTGCACCCAAGTGGATAGGCCACTTACCTTTAAAACCCCACCTCCCCCTCCACCCTCCCAAACCTTTCACACATTCCATCCTTACCCATCCTTCTTCCTTCCCCATCTTACCAAAGCTCTGGTCAGAACCTCGCACCTCGCACCTACGGGAATGGTAGGCAATCAGATTTGATTCAAGGACGGGAAAGACAGGTTCAACTCCTTGCCTCCAGATCCCCTCATCAGCATCAAGGAACCTTTAGTACAGTACAACATAAACTATTAAGGTTATGTGAAAACATTGCATATTATAAGAAATTACCGTTCGTGGTGAGGGTGGTGGTAGGGGAGTGGTTGGAGTATCTAACTGTATAGAGGTGGTGGTGATGACATCCCCAGGAGTTGTAACTGCACTGCTGCTTCCCTCTACATCCTGCAAATCAAAATCAAAATGTTTATTTTCTTGTAAAGCTTACGATGTGTGGTTTACATGTTATAAAATATTAATTACAAAGAAGGCACTCGCATGCCTAGGCATATCGGGAAGACTAATACTAATTCTTACTCCATATTGATATATGTACATTTGAACATACATTATTAGATATATACTACATAATTAGATACATACCTAGTTAGGTACATACATAATTAGCTTTATACAGTGGAACCCCGTATTTCATACCTAATCCAGTCCAGAAGGTCGTTCTAAATCCGAAAAGTGTGAAAACTGAAGTAATATTTCCCATACCTGGAGTATACCTGGAGAGAGTTCCGGGGGTCAACGCTCCCACAGCCCGGTCTGTAACCAGGCCTCAAGGTGGATCAGGGCCTGGTCAACCAGGCTGTTACTGCTGGCCGCACGTAATCCAACATACAAACCACAGCCTGGCTGGTCAGGTACTGACTTTAGGTGCCTGTCCAGTGCCTGCTTGAAGACAGCCAGGGGTCTATTGGTAATCCCCATGATGTATGCTGGGAGGCAGTTGGACAGCCTTGGGCCCCTGACATTTATTGTGTTGTCTCTTGTCATGCTAGTGGTACCCCTGCTTTTCATTGGGGGGATGTTGCACCATCTGCAGAGTCTTTTGCTTTTGTACGGAGTAATTTTCATGTGCAAGTTTGGCACTAGTCCCCCTAGGATTTTTCAGGTGTATATAATCATGTATCTCTCCCTCCTGCATTCTAGGGAGTACAGGTTTAGGAACTTCAACCTCTACTTACGAGTGCCCAGCGTGTGAGTTTTTAAAGATATGAGCAATCCTTTGGCCGATTTTTTGCTTCCAGATGCAAGCAAAATTTCAAGATGCAAGTGGGCCTCAAGGGAGGTTCCTTGACACTGGTGAGGGGCTCTTGTTCTTGATCTAGGGGAATTGGATCTCGGTTGTTTGTTGGACTATCTTGCTGAAACTTGGGCGATGTATGATGCAAAGATGCTTCTTAATCCTTTGACTATCAAGATCCCTCCTCACAAACTTACTCTCAGTGTTAAAGAAATTAAAAAAAAAAATTTTTCTTATGACAAGATAAAGAATCTTTTCCTGATGGTAATGACACCAAAAGTATGAAATTTGATTGAAAACTTACGGAATTACGTTCTCGCAAAGTTAGCAATCTCAGTGATATTTACGCATCCACGATTTTCCCCACTTTGAGCCCTATTTTCGGTCAACTCCACTGCTCCAGTCGATTAAACTCATAGCTATTTCTTTAGAACTACATTTGCTCTATTGACCGAGTACAAGAAACTGCCCATTTACTGATTTCAACTACCCTATAAAGTGGTCAGAAAATGGCAATTTGGCCAATTTCATGCAAATTGAAAAAGATGCCAATTTCAAAATAGGGTCTAGAATAAACAGTGCAGACATTCCAGGCACTAAAATAACATTTTCTCTGTTCATCAGTCATGTCTCCAGGCCCCTCTTACATTACTCTTGCTTTCTATTTTGAATTTTTATTCACACAAAAAATAGACTATTTACTGTTATGCATTATTGTAATAGTTGTATAAATAATGTCAACCCATTCATGACTGTGTATTAGAATAGCTAGTTGGACACTTACTGGACAATGACATCATTTGTTTACTCTTGAACACTGGCAAAAATCGAACATTTCCACTATTTTGAGCTCAATTTCAAGGCCATTCTCATTGTGAAACCAATCAAAATCATTTCTGTTTCCGTAACATGTCTTCCATTCTATCAAATGAGACCAAGAAAACGAGAATACAACCATAAATACTATAAGAAAATATACCTCAAAGTCGGCATTTTAATCCAAAAACACAGTCGGATTTCTTTTTCTCATTATGCACTGCGTGCTGCAGGTTTTTTTTTTATACTGCGCACACTGACCACACACACCCATTCTTTCACATGTGGGCCTACCAGCTTTCTCCCACTTGATTTGAAGCCACTACAATTTTGGAGTATAAATACATCAGAAACAGTCAAAAGGTTAACGAACACCAAAACTGAAAGAAATCAGACCATAAATAATGGAGTTCACTTCTCAGTTATTAGCTGGCCACTAGCCAGCCCTTAGCGGTATACAGTGTACCCCCAGTTTTCGTAATTAATCCGTTCCAGAGAGAGTGACTAAACCCGAATCTGTCAAATTCTGAATTAATTTTCCCCATAAGAAATACGTAATGGAAATCCAATTAATCCATTCCCAACATCCAAAAGTATTAAAAAAATAATTTCTTTACATGAAATATACATTTCCCTACACAGAAAACAATGAAACATGCAGAATAAAACAATATTAAAATGACATTTACCTTTATTGAAGACTTATTGACGAGTGATCAATCAATCAATCAAGTTTATTCTCTATAAGGATTACAATGCAGGGTTTACAGATTTTGGATACTGTGTGGTTTATGTTTTAAAATGCTAATTACAGAGGGGGCCACTAGGACACCTAGCATGGCTAGGCATTTCGGGCAGACTTAGATTAATTCTAAACTTTAAATTATTACAGATTAGGGTATTAAGGCTAAGTGACTACATTATAGTTTGTAAGTTTAGCAATGTGAATGCTTTTGTTTTGGCACAAAATGGAAGGAGGGGAGAGGATGGAGGTGTACTGTTTTTTGGAAGGTTAATCCCCTTCCATAAAGACTTCAGGTACCAACTCCTTTTTCAGGGTTACTTCCCATCTTTGTTTTTTAATGCCACTTGGCTTTAGAGTCACTGGACCTCTGTTGCTCAAAAGTGTGTTCCAGAGAGGTCTGTATCTGGAGTTTCTTTAAAACTTCCCTAAAATGAGACACAACATTGTTACTGTACATGTTGCAAGCACAACCTGCAACAGCTTTGTAAGAGTGATGTTCATCCATAAATGTGTGTACCTTTGTCCACATTGTACAAATCCCCTTAAGCTTTGAAGAAGGCACCTTCCTCCATCTCTCTTCCTCCTCCTCTGAAGCAATTTCCTGAGCTGTGGTCTGTTGCTGTAGATGATGAAATTCTTGCAGCTCTGTAGTGGTTAGCTCTTCATCTGTGGTCCTCCACCAACTCTTCCACATCCTCCAAACTCACATCCAACCCCATGGAATTCCCCAATGCCACAATACTTTCCACAAGTGGCATAGGCTCCTGAGGGTCAGCCCCAAACCCTTAAAAATCCCTCTCTTGTACACATTCTGGCCACAATTTTCCCCAAGCAGAGTTCAAAGTCCTGCAAATCACTCCCAACCAAGCCTTACCTATAAGGTTTAAGCAATGGAAGATATTGCAGTGATCTTTCTAAAACTCTCTTAGGGTCAATTCAGTGTCTGAGGTCACTTCAAAGCACTTTTGAGATACTGCTTTGGTGTACAGTAGACTGTCATTTAGCACGAGCTTATTTGGCACGATTTGAGTACTGCACGCTCGAAAATTGCGGCCCCAATTTTAGGGTAACCCCATAGTAAAATTTAAACCCCCTTGTAGGTGGGAAACCCCCAAACCCTAAAGGTGTCTCCGGGTGTGGAAAAACCCCCCCCCCCAATTTAATTTTTTTATAAAAATGGTAGAAAATTTTTTTTCCCTGATTGTAATGAATCAAAAAAAACAAAATTTGAGGGAAAAAACTGACGGGATTATGCTCTTGCAAAATTTTATTTGGCCCCTTGGCGAAAATTTACAAACCCGCGATTTCCCCCAATTTTGGGCCCTTTTTTTCAGCTTTTTTCCCAATTTTCCCAGTTGCCCCAAACTCATAGGCTCTTTTTTTTGGGAAACTCCATTTTTTCTATCAATTGATTTACAAAAACCTCCCCATTTACCAATTTCAATCCCCAAAAATGTGGTAAAAAAATTTGCCTTTTTGGCCCAATTTTCAAAAAATTAAAAAAAAGGGAAAATTTAAAAATAGGGCCCAAAAATAAAAACAATGCAGACTTTCCCTTTGGCTCTAAAATAACATTTTCTTTGTTCATCGTCACAACTCCAGGCCCCTCTGATATTACTCTTGCTCTCAAATTTTTAAATTTTTATTAAAACAAAAAATAGGATTTTCTGTTATGCAGACACCCCATATTGAAAATTAAATTGCATAAATAATGTAAAACCCCATTAATAAACGGCATTTTTGAAGGGCCTACTTGGACATTTATTGGAAAAAAATTTTTGGGTTTAATTTGTTTACTTCTAAAACAGGGGGAAAAAAATCAAACATTTCCCTTTTTGAGCCATTTAAAGGTTCTTTTCATAGTAAAAACCAATCAAAATCACCCCTTTTTTATAAATTTTTTTCCTTTTATATCAAAGGGACCAAAAAATTTTGAGGAATACACTCTTAGTTATTTTAATGTGTAATCATACCGCGTGTTTTGTTTACTTAGGTCCCCAAGGTTTTCGGGGGCCAGGAGCTGGGAATCGACCCCTGAAAACCACAAATAGGCAAATTTACTTTTAAGTATAATTATGTTTTAAAAATTAAATTTTAGGTATGTGGCCCACCTGGGTTTACAAAACATAAAACCTCCCCCTACAAAAGCATTTTCATATAAACTTACATGTTTACATGCAATGAAAAGGGTGTTTCTTATATAATTTTGAAAAAAATTTATCTAGGTGGTTTAAATAAAAATATCTTTATTAACAAAAAATAAGACTTTTAAAATGTGCCCAAGGGTTGTTTTTTATTTTTTATTACAAAATTGTTTTCCCCCCTCCCCAGAAACCCACACCTCCCTAACATAAAACCCCAGATTTTTATTGCTTTGTAACACGTTTCTTTTAAAATTTTTAAAAAGAAATATTATAGAGGATTAATAAAAAAGGGTCTATATTGATGAAAAATTATTCTGATTCTGTGAGGTAGAATCTCTGGGAAATTTTTTTTTAGCTTGTGTTCAGTAAAAATTAAAATACAGTATGTTTTTTTGTGGGTTTCCCCATTTTAGCACCCAATTTTTTCCATCCCTTGCAAAGCAATTTGGG